AGAGAGAGAGAGAGAGAGAGAGAGAGAGAGAGAGAGAGAGAGAGAGAGAGAGAGAGACTTCTAGTAGCTCCTTGTCGTCAGTAAAGGCACTGCCGAGTTCTCCGCACACCTCAGGGCTCGGCTTTCTGGCCCAGTTGCTCTGCTTCATTGCCACTGAAATAGTTTCCTTTGGGATGATGGATTGTGGATGTCTAAACAGGGGCCCTTTCCCTCCTGGGCTTGCCCTACCCTTTTCCTGGGGACACAGAGAGGGTTTGATTGAACGGGCACGGCAGAGGGACAGAGTCGAGGCTCTGGGGGCTCAGCCTGGGCTAAGCAGCTCTTTCATTGGGGTGGTCAACACCTTTTATTGCTGCAGACTCTTTGGGATTGCTCCGATATTAGCCTGCTTTGAGGTGGATTGGAGAGGCATGCCTGTGCCCCAAACTGCTTCCAGACGTGATGTAGGCTGAATACTGCTTCCTTTGGTCCCTTGTTCAGGGGATTTGCTTAAAAAAAAAAAAAAAAAAAAGAACAAAACAAAACCAGAAAGCTTGTTAGACTCAATGTTGGTGGTAAGCAGAATATATAACCGGAGACAGTTAAAGCCTTTAGGAAGTTCCCACTTAACACATTTGCTTCTATGAATCTTCACATTTTTACATCCTGCCCTTGATTTTCGATTTCCTTTCTATGAAATTTTCATGAGGTGGTTCCGTTTGAAAAGAAAAATCTTAAATCACACATAATTATGTTTACTCAGACTCTACTTAGTGTATGACCTCGAAGGAACTGAGAGGAGAAGCCTCAGAGTCAATGGAATGGTCCAGAATGGGCTGTGGGGGAGTGGGAAGACTCTGGGGTCAGGGGTGGCGACTTTGAGTTCTGAAGATGCCCTCGGAGCTGGTTGTGTGATGCTTGGGTGCGCAGTAATGTGACTGACTAGTCAGTGCCGGTTAAGTTGGTAGATGGAGAACCCCACAGACTATCTTGTCTGCCTGCAAATTTCCTTCTTTTGGGAAAACTATTAACATTCTGCCTATAGAAGGGAGTTCATACCGTGTATGACAAACTCAGAGGCTTTTTTTTTTTTTTTTGGTGGGGGATGGGAGGGAGCGGGCACAGCAGACAGAGGGGTTCTAGGAAGAATTTTGCTTACATAAATGCTTATGCTCAGACTTTCAAACTCCCATATTAACTTAACTAGTGCATTTCGAGCTGGCGTCTGGCTCTGGCTGGCTGTTGTGGCTCTGAGCCTCCTGCCCCTCCTCCTCCCCAGTGCCGGGATTACGGGCGTGCACCACTATGCCTGACTCAGCCTCCAGACATTCTGTTCAAAGTCCAAACGTCCTTTCACTGTTATGCCCATTATGTTGCTAAGCTGGCAATGAAAACCAGCGAGGCCCTTTTAATCTGCCCCGGCATCTTGTCTTGTGCGGAAGCCTGGGAAGACATTCATGGTCTCATCCTTAAGAACCCGACCGTCTACTAGTCCTGATGAGAGTTATGGGTGAGTCAATTGGAGAACAGTGGTTGATGGATCTAATCTAGTTTCTAGCCCAGAGCTCTGCACATAAAAGGAGACCAGTGACATCGGGCCACTGAGGAAAGTGCTAAAGTCTGGTCATCAATTTAATCTCAGAATTGGGAGAGATGTAGGTTAATGTAATTGTTATGATCCATGTGCAGAAGGTGGGACACTTGAATGGAGGGCAGAAGGAAGTTGCCTGGATTAGGAAGAGGATATTCCAGGTGACTATCACAGCAGAGACCCAGGGAACGAAACCTTGGTTGTTTTGGTTCTGTATGTGCTGACAGACGGCTGGTAGGAGGGAAGAGATGAAGTGCAGCAGGATTGAAACTTGGATACAGGCAGCCTGATGAAACCATGAGGGAGCTGCTTCTCTTTTGGAGAGAGGCACATGCTGACTCCAGGTAAACATCTGTGATGGTTTTGATCGCCAGCTTCAGAGGATCCAGAGTCGCCGTGGGAACGTCCTGTGAGCAGATCTGTGAGTGGCTTTCTAGATTACGTTAACTAAGGTGGGAGGATTGGTCATAAATGTGGTGGCTGGTGTCCTGTGGGCTGGTGTCCCAGGCTGCAAAGAAAGGAGAAACCTACTTCTCATGCTGCTGTCCCCAAATCCCAGCAATTTAACTGATATCCTAACTAAAATCCAAACATCGGAAGTCGGAAATCCTTCCAAGTCAACCCCTTTCTGAGCATCTACTTGGCGTCATGAGTGGAAACTTTCACACCTTACCTCAGGCTATCTGTCATAGTCCAGGTGTAGGCACAATGAAAAAAAACTGTATAAAATCTCCTACATGCTATGTATAAGAGGTGTCTATAAACCTAAATGGCCAAGTGTGGTAGCACACACCTCAAGTGGCTGAGTCGGGAAAATATTTTCTGCCATTCTGTAGGTTACTTTAAAAATTCTGTCCATTGTGTTCTTTATGGGGGCACAATTCTTAACTTTGATTAAGTTCAATTTGTCTTTTTTTTTTCTCTGCCTGTGTTTTGATGTCCTACCCAAGAAATCACCATCAAGTCCAGGTTTTGAAGAATGCCTTACTTTCTTCTAGGACTTGTATAGGTTTAGGTTTTTCTTACAAGCCTTTGATCTGTTTTGAATTAATGTTTGCATGTAGTATTAAGGGTCCACTCCATTCTTTCTCTTGTATATATTCAATTATCCTAAAATCCATGATTGTCCTTTCTCTACTGAATGGTCTTAACATCCGCCCTGTTTTATTGGCATGTCTTTATGCCCACACCATGATGTTCTGGTTACAGAATTGTGATAAAACTTCCATTTAGAAAGTTAGAAACCTCCAACTTTGTGCTCCTTTTTCAAGATCTTTTTGCTATTTACTGTGTCTTGAGAGTCTATATGAGTTTTAGGATGGATTTTCTGGTTTCTGAAAAACAAAAAGCCGTTGGGATTTTGATGGAGATGGTGTTCAATCTATAGACCATTTTGGGTAATGTGGCTAGCTTAATGATAACGATGTTACAATCCCTGAAAACGAGTGTTTGTCCATTTCTTCATGTGTTCATTAGTTTCTTTTAGCAATGTCTAGTTGTTTTTATTTTATACACTATTTTCCTTTTTGGTTAAGGTCATTATTCTAAGTAGTTTATTCTTTTTGATATGATTGTGAATTGAATTGTTTCTGTAATCAAAGCAGATATCTTGGCCTTCCATGATGCCAAGTTTCTCTTCTCCAGAGACTGGGTGATACTAATTCGGAAGGATGAGAGTCCAGGCCACCCAGAGGTTCCCCTTCGTCCTAAGAACAGACTGCAATTTGGAATCAGGTAGGAGTCAAGGCTCATTTAAAGCGCATTTGGAGTTGTTCAAGGTCTTTGAGCTTTACAGACACATTATTTAATATGTTTTTCTCAGAGCCCAAGGACAAAGAGCTTCCTCCCAAATTCTACATGCACAGAGAAGAGAAATGTCACAGCTGTTGGGAGGTCATTAGTGTGGGTTGATTTTTGTCTGTTTTAAAATTTTATTTATCATCATTATTATTGTTATTATTATTATTAGTGCGTGCATGTGAGCTCGAGAGTTCAAGGGCAACTCTGGAGCTGGTTCTCTCCTTCTGCCATGGGCTCTGGGAATCAAACTCAGATCCTTAGCTTTGGCAGCAAACGCCTTTATTCCCTAAGCAAAACCTGCAGGAGGGGCATAGTACAACTTCTGCTCTGGGATTTTCCTTCCTTTATCCTGTTTCTAGGGATCTCCCTATCTTAGATCTTTCCCCAGAGTTCTCCATCTTCTGCCTCCTACACAGAATGTACTGACTCCTCTGTAATTGCCTTGAGCCTTTGCTGGGCAAAGGCAAACTTGGCCTGAAAAAACATCTCACAAATCAAGAATAGGTCAACACAGTGGCGATAACGTAATCTGAGTATGGTGACATGAACCAGTCTAATCCTAGTGACACCAAGAATTCAGAATTGCTGGGTATGGTGGCACATGCTTTTTATTCCTGCACTCAGCAGGCAGAGGCAGTTAGATCTCTGAGTTCAAGGCCAGCCTGCTCTACATATGCTGTGATTGTTTTTGAAACAGGGTCTCATTCTCCATATCAGCTTGGCTTAGGGATTCACTATGTAGCTAAGGCTGGTCTTGAACTGGTGGCAATTCTCCTGCCTCAGCCTCTTGACTACCAGGGCAACAGGTATGAGTCATCTGTTGGTGGTTTTGCTTAAACCAGGGATTGATTTGACAGGAGACAGAGCAAGGACAAAAGAGGAACCCAGGAATAGGTGGCATGGAAGCGAGGTGATTTGCTGGCCCTTACTTGAGGTGCCCAAGATGGAGAGCACAGGCCTGCCTTGGTAGCCTGTCACAAGTCTCTGGAAGGCAAAGGCTGTGGCTGACATCATTCTATTGTTGACTGTTTCTAACCTTAGGGCTTAGTGAGCTGGGAGTTAGAAGGGGCTTCTCCTGGGACAGTGTGGTTGTGACCCAGTAAGTCTTTGTTGGCTTTGGAAACAAGGAAGATTTTTCTATATGTCTCTGTAGACCCAAGTCTAGAGGACCCTAGGCTGCTTGGGCAGGGCATGATCAGGGATGGGGTAACGTGAACATAATGCCTGCAGGCCAACCTCATAGGCCATGCTTGGGCAGGGCATGATCAGGGATGGGGTAACGTGAACATAATGCCTGCAGGCCAACCTCGTAGGTGTCACGAGCCACCTGTATGACCGCTGCAGTGGGAATCAGACCCCCTTGATACACCTCTTCCACTCGGGGAGGCGTGGGAGGCAGAGAAGGTGAGGGCCACACCATTCTTCAGCACGGCGGTGCAGGAGGCGGGGCTTGGCAGCCTGAAGGACCTGGGGTTCTGCTTTGTGTCCGGCAGCTCCACAGAGCTGTCTGCAAGGAGAATGTGATACAAAGTCTACAAACATTGCCCTGCAAAAGGCACATTTTTATCTCCCTCTCCAGAACCTCTGAGAGAGCCAAGTTTGGTGGTTTGCCAAACAGACGGTGCTCCTTCCGTGTGATGTACAGTGAGCAGTGGGGGCGAGCATCTTCCTGTGGATCCCGTGTGCACAGCTCTGGATGGCAAACGAGGGGACTCTGGGAAGGAGGATGCACTAGGGGAGAAAGATTTGTCCAGCACCCATTAGACAACGGGCTAAGAACACAAACGACTTAGAGCAGAGGAGAAAAGGAGAGGAAAAAAAAAAACCAAAAACCAAAAAACACAACCACCACCGTAAAGCAAAGGTAAACAGTTTTCCTACTTCTTTCTTCCTGTGTACCTAATCTGTGTGGGCAGAGAGGCTGGGAGCTGACGGCTGTTTCGGGGCCTCTGATTATGAACCCACATGTGGGAAGATTAGGATCAAGGGACTCTGAAGTCACTAAACCCTCCTCCCGTCTTGTCACCTGCTCCTCTTTCCCTAGTCCTAAGGGCCGGAGTTCTCTTCTTTAATCTTTGTTGACTGTTGTTAATCCCTGTTTCATCAGGAGGAGGGGCTTGCTCTGAAAATTAAGGGTTGGGGACAAAGTTCCTCAGTGCCCCGCCAGATCTTTCCTCATGTGCTCTCACACCTAATACTTGTGCCACACATCTGTCGCCTTTCACACCACCCTTGCACTGCTGGATCTTTGCCCGCATGTGTGTGCAGTCTTCGACTTCATTGTCCCACTGCCAATCAATCCCAGAATCCTCCCATTCTGAGTATTTTTAGCACTCTGGCATCATCTTGCTGACTTCATCTCAATGTGCAACCAGAACCTCCTGAGGGCATGGCAGGCACTCACGCGAGGTTACTATCACCACCCACTAGAGGCATTCCAAGTGGCTGTCTTAGGGGGTGCTGGCCAAGCATCCACATACCTCCTCACCTGATATCCACAGTCAGATGCTGCAGAGGCCACAGTGCCACCCAGACTGACAGGAGAGTCCAACTGCAAAGCTTTGACGTCGGGCTGAACAGAGGATGGGGCAGCTTCCACTTCAGACCCAAGCCAACTGCGCGCCTGCGCCAGGCAACAGCTGCTTGGTATCAAGGCGAGACTCTAGCTGGGGAGGGAGGATGGCTTGGCCTGCCACTTAGATGTAGGGACAACTTCCGTTGGTGGGGTAGACTCAGCCTCCACTCACAGGCTGTCTCGAGTCTAACGCAGGTGTTAAAATGATAGAGCCGGGGCAGGTGAGATGTCCTAGTGGGTAAAAAGCTCAGAACCCACAGTGGAAGGAGAGAATTGTGACCTCTGACCTTCACATATTCCTCCCACCCCTAATAATAAATAAACTAAATCAAAATGTTAGTGTAGGAAGAGAGCAGAGCATGATTCTAATTTTACAGGTGAGAGACATGGATGTTCTTGTGGGGAGTCAGATTTGCTTTGCCCAGCTTAACACCCGTCACACACCGTATGTACTTCCTGGTCATTTTTGCTTCTGTCATAAATAGAAGGTAGGAAAGAAAAGATACATACGTGTATACATGTATGCATTAATACATATGAATGTATTAATCATTGTGGTGCGAGGAATCACACCTAGTGCCTTGTGCATGGTGAACTTGTATTCTACCACACACATCTTTGATTCCTATACTGGACATTTCCGGTATCCGTTTGTCTCGTTATTGGTGATGTATTTTAATTATTTTCTTGGATTTGTCTACCAAATTTCTCTTTTGCAAAGCTGGGGTTTTCAACGGCAGTTTGTCTAGAATGTGTGTGGCCCCGGGGTCAATCCTCAGCACCAAAACCATCAAGTTTTTATAACTGGTAGATATCACATGGAGTCAAACTGCGGCTCTATGGTTTGCAGTTTCTCTACAAACTTTTATCCTCTAGCTTTTGCATTTTTGTGTGGCTCTCGGTTCATACTGCAGTGGAAGTCAAGTGTTTATTTTCTGATTTTATTATTCACATTTATGGTCATCTTCCTGTTAGCATGAACCTTTTCTTCTCCCATTTGGTTATGGATTTATATCAATTTAGGCTTAGGAACTACTTTTCCTTCAGTGGGTTATAATCTGTTACTCCTATTATTAATTCTGCTGTTTAAATTATCCCTTACTTGGTTGATAGGAATCCTTTCTGGATGGTTCCTGTTGAGCTTTCCTGAGTCTATAGATCTGGTTATAATTTACACACAGAAGAATCTATACTTCTGAAGAGAATGGCTGACTGCTTTGACAAATATTTGTAGTTGTGTAACCCCCACAACCACAGCTAAGGTGGGGAATGATTCCATCATCTCAGAGGCTGCCTCTGAGCCTGCTTACAGTCAGCCCTTTCCCTGGAACCCTGTTTTTGGCTATCAGTGCTTTGATTTTTGTCTCCAGTTTTGCCCCTTCAGAATATTTTTGATTAATTTTGGGCTAGGGATGTAGCTCAGTGGTAGAGCACTTGCACAGCATGCTTGAAGAAAAGCAGATTTGATCACTCCTCAGCACTGAGAAAAAGATGAGGAGATGGAGAGGAGGAGAGGAGAGGAGAAGGGAGGAGATGATTTGGAGAGGGCGTGGGATCCAGGGCATGCTTACTAAACAAAAGTTTTCCAACGGAGCTATGACCCAGCCCCAGACTCTATCTTTTGTGTATCCTCTTTATCTGGGTATATTTTGACACCCATCCATGTTGCATGTACCCTTAGTTCATTCGTTTTTATTGCTGAATAGTATTCTGTGGTATGGATATTCTCCGGACTGCTATTTTCCTTCATTTGCTGACAAACATTTGGGTTATTCACAGGTTGTTTAGTTTTTGAAATAGGGTCTCGCTTTCTGTAGCTGGCCTGGGATTTACTCTGTGGCCCAGACTGGACTCAAACTGATGCCAGTCCTCCTGTCTCAGCTTCCTCAGTGCTGGGTTTAAAGGTATGAGCCACCCTGTCTGGCAATTCCCATTTTTTTGACATTAAAAAGAAAGGTGCTATGAACATTTGTGTCCCAGTCTTTGTATAGACAGATGTTTCCATTTATCTGAGGATACAGTGGTGACGATGGCCAGACAGTGGAGTAGGTGACTATTTAACTTTTAGAGAATGTTTTTCAAAGTGGCAGTACCATTTTTTTTCTTCCACTGGCATTCTCGCTGCACTGTGTCCTGTCAACATTTGTAGTCTCTGTTTTAGGCAATTTTAATAGGTGCAGAGTGCTATCTTTAATTTTTCCTCATAATCTATAAGCATCATTTTATATCCTTATTTGCTATCCATATTTCTTTGTTGGTGGAAAAAAAATAAAGATCGAGTTAAAAATCTTTTGCTCATCTAAAAATTGTGTTGTCTTCTGGATCCAAGCTCTTGGTATTTTCTTGTGAGTAAAAATTATGTACTGTGAGTGTGAGTGAAGATATAGGCCCAGGATCAGTGAACTTTTTCTGTAAAGGTTCATCTGGCAAATATTTAAGGCCCAGTGGGCTATGTGGTCTCTGTGCTAACCAGTCAACTCTGCCCTCAAGTTTGAAAGTAGCCCTAGGCACTATACAAATGACTGAGTACATCTGGGTTTCAATAAAGCTTTATTTGTAAAGAGAGAAGAGTGTGTTTGTTCAATAGGCCATGGTTTGCCAGCTCCTGGCTTTGGCCTTGATCACTAGCACTAGACAGAATGGACTGAATCCTTCTTGGTATGTGAGATCCAGACAGAGACTGCAAGTTCAGGGGTGTGATGACTGGGTGCTGACGCCCACCACACTTCATCTAAACATCAGAACTGCACGATACGCAGGTGGGGAGTTGCTGTAGCATGACGCTCATTCTCTGAGTTCTGTTTTGGACCCTCCTGTCTCAGGATGCCCTGTCATAGGAGACGGGTCAGTGGTGGGTGGGGGTGGGATGAGGGTGATGTTCTTCCCAGTTCTCAGTCCCCATTTCTGACGTGCATAGGCTTTTAGTGGGACTTCCTAGCACATGCTTCTGGCCTCCACCTACTGCTCCAGAACCTCCAGGGTGGGCTGGATTGTCCTTTTCTAATTTTAAAGTGTTTTCTAGGTGTTGCAGATGAAGCTAGATGAGGACTGCCACTACGGTGCTGAAAAGAGGTTCTCCAGACTTGTCTTAGTGAAGAGATGAGAACAATCTCAAATTACTGCATCGATTTCCTGAACATAGATGATTCTAAAGGGCTGACAAGAGATTCAAAAGTTAAAAAGTAGCTAAACTGCGCCTTTGTAAGCCCTCTCCCCAAACTTCATTACCCCTATGGAGCGTCTCCCTTTTTCTGCTACGGTGTTTATCAAACTATTTTTTCATGCATACTGAAAAACAAACAAACAAACAAAACAAAACAACAAACAAACTTCAGGATATCATCTACTAGATTAAAAAATATTAATTACTAGACTCTAAATGAAAGAGTGAAATGTATTGTAGAAATTCAAGCCCTTACCATTACTCACAAGGACCAGAGGCTCAACCCAATCATACCTTTGATGGACTAAATGTCTTTAAACACATAGTTGGCTGTAATACTGGGGAATTCATATTCTTGAAAGGTTCTATTTTTGTAGAACTTTGACTGACATCTTTTGATAATCCCAGTTTTCCCCAGCAGTTGAGTAGCTCCTTTTTTGGGAAATGTTGTTTTGTACTTTGCATTTTGACAGTGATGCTAGAATACAGACTATTCTGTTTGCAATGCAAAATTATATTAGGCAACATTAGGAAACTGTGAAACAATGGCTTGCAAACTGCCTTAGAATTAAAACAGGGCCCTGAAGATATGTGCTTGTGATATGTTGATGTAAGACTGTACTATTTTTATATATTAAAAAAACACCTTCTAGTGGGGGAGAGGATCAATTAGAACAAAGTGTGAGAATACCATAATGATACCCGTGACTTTGTATACTAATTTTAAAAACTCCTTTAAATATTTTTAAAAATTAAAAAAAAATCCTCCTATTATTTTCTTAGTCTTTTGGGGTGGACAAATGAGAATATCTGAGACTGAGGGATTTGGTTCCTTCATTCTTTTGTGTGTGTGTGTGTGTGTGTGTGTGTGTGTGTGTGTGTGTGTGTGTGTGTAGGGTAGAGGCCAACTGTCAGAGTCATTCCTCAGGCACCATCCTCCTTGTTTTTTGAGGCAGGGTCTCAGTGGTTTGGAGTTCAATGTTTAGCCTAGGCTTGTCTGTGATTCCTTAGCACTGGGATTCTAACTGTGGGTTCTGGAGTTGAACTTGAAATCCTCATGCGTTCTTGGCAAGCACTTTCCTGACTGAGTCATTTCCCCAGCCCAAAACTGGGCACTATA